TGTGGATTTAGATGCCGTAATTGGTGGTGTACTAGAATCAGATAAAACTGTGTCTTACTTAAAATTATAGATTTCTGAAACAGAACATCAGAAATTTATTACTTTTTTTTTTTTTAAAGACAGAGTCTTGCTCAGTTGCCTAAGCTAGAGTGCAGTGGCACAATCAGAGCTCAATGTCACCTTGATCTCCTGGGCTCAACTGACCCTCCTGCTTCAGCCTCCCAAGTAGCTGGGATTATAGGCACATGCCACCACACCTGGGCTAATTTTAGTTTATTTTATTTTAATAGAGATGGGTTCTCACTGCATTGCCCAGGCTGGTCTGGAAATTCTGACCTCAAGCAATCCTCCCATCTTGGCCTCCCAAAGTGCTGCGATTATAGGCATGAGCCACTGTGCTCAGCTTATCTTGATTTTGTTTTTAGCATTTTGATTTCCAATGCCTTCTGAATGCTTGTTCCTGGGGCTCTTCTGACACCCACATATTCTGAATTAATTTTCAGCAATAACCACACCTACGTGTACTCTACCAGATAGAATATATGCTACATCATAAAGAAGTCTGTTCTCTTTCTGTTCAACAATGTTGTTCAATGATCCCACTCACCATGAGAAAAAAGGCCTGCCATGGTTGCGCGTTAGCCCATGGCACTTCATCTTCTCAACTATTTCCCCCAGAAAGAATAGAAAATAATGAAAACCTTCCTGATAGACTCATCTTTATAATGGCTGTGCAAATTATTGAGTGTAATGAGGAATTCTGTGTGCTAATTACCTTTAAATAGATCATCTCTACATATAATTCTGATCTTAATACTCGAGAAATTTGGTTTTTATCATAAAAAGGTGGCAATTTGTCACCATGTGCTTGTGAATTACATCTGCATGAAAATAACATGTCAATAATATGTCATTTATTCAATGTATACTCAGTACCAGATACTGTGTCAACTACTATACATGCCTTTAATTCTGACAACCACCATATGTGTTAGACACCATCATCTCCATTTTAGGAAAATTACACGGATAACCATAAAGTGCAAGTTATTGCCAAGGCCAGTTGGCAGGTCAGTGGTTGAAGCAGGATTCCAAAATAAGTCAGTTTGATTTCAAACTGATTTCTTAATAACTACCACTCTCCACTCCCCTCTTCTTTAGGAGCATATCATTTCTAGGAAAGACTATTTATTCTCATGGCAATAACCAAGATAACACGACATGAACCTTTAAATGATATATGCTATATTTTTATATGGGATATGACATAGTGAAAAATGACTGTCTCTTTTGATTTTGCTGATGAAAAAAAAATCTCTCTCTCTGCTTTTCACATGCAAAGAATTCATTTTGACTAGCAAACTGTCAAAATGTTTAACTTGGTGTCTACTTGTGCTTTGTGGACTTTTCATGATGGTGATATTTTGTTGCAAGGTGATTTTTTTTTTTTTTTTTTTAATGAGTCTCACTCTGTCTCCAGGCTGCAGTGCAACCGCAGGATCTCGGCTCACTGCAACCTCCGCCACCTGGGTTCAAGCAGTTCTCCTGCCTCAGCCTCCTGAGTAGCTGGGACTACAGGCATGCGCCACCAAGCCCGGCTAATTTTTTGTAGTTTTAGTAGAGACGGGGTTTCACCAGGCCAGGATGGTCTCCATTTCTTGACGTTGTGATCTGCCTGCCTCGGCCTCCCAAAGTGCTGGGATTACAAGCGTGAGCCACCGTGCCTGGCCTTAAGGTGATTTTTAAAGATACCTTTTTGTATGCTTTTCTGTAAGCTGATTCAGTTTTGAGTTTGTCTGCAATATATAAAAAGGATGTTCTTGGCCTGGTGCAGTGGCTCATGCCTGTAATCCCAGCATTTTGGAAGGCCTAGATGGGCAGATCACCTGAGGTCAGGAGTTCAAGACCAGCCTGGCCAACGTGGCAAAACCCGTCTCTACTAAAAGTACAAAAAATTAGCCTGGCATGGTGACGCATGCCTATAGTCCCAGTAACTCAGGAGGCTGAGGCAGGAGAATCGCTTGAACCTGGGAGGCGGAGATTGCAGTGAGCCGAGCTTGTGCCACTGCACTCCTGCCTGGTGAGAGAGTGAGACTTCAACTCAAAAAAAGAAAAAATAAAAAGATGTTATTCAAGTCATTTTAATTGTTCTCTCAGCATACCCTATGAATGTAGACATATACTGATTTCATCTAAAGCTTTCAAATCAGATGCATGGCCACCAAATAATCATAAAAACATTTCTTTTAAAAATGTTAATGAGGAATCAAGAGATTTTAAAGAAAATATGTATATTTGTTTTTTCTTGTAAAATGCATACTGTGGTGTTTGAGCAAGGCTAATGTTGCATAAGTCAGAACTCTGCAGCTCTTTCTGGGGCTTAAAAAAAAAAGCCATCTGGCCATAAGCTACTGACAGAGTGGCTCTTCCCCTGTAGCTGGGCACCTACCAGGGCCTGGGCATGGCTCTCAATGCTGGATGACGTACAACAATTTACAGAATACGTTCTCTCTCTCTCCAGGGACCCCAGTGTATAGGCATGAAGCAGACTCACAAAAAATTACAATATATAGGTGCTAAAAATACAAGTATTTTAAAGTTGTATTAACTGCACAAAGGGGTCAGATAATTGGCAGGTGTGATTCCAGCAGCTTTGGAAGAGAGGAATTTGACTTGCATCTTAAAGGATAAATATATCATCAGGCAAAGGGGAATGTCATAGGATGCAAGACCTTCAGCAAATATACAGTGGTCTGAAGGAGCTTGAGATCCCAGGAAGATAAACTGAAAGCATTTTGTTAGCTCATGTCATATATAAATATACACACACACATATATATGTATATATATACACACACACATATATATATAATCTAGAGCATGTAATGGAGGAGACAACATTGGTAAGGAATGTCGGAGCAATGTGCAGTAGGACACATATGTCACACAAAGAGTTTGAATTCTATCTTGCAAGCAATAAAAATGCATATTTTGCAAGCACTACAGTACCATTCCTTATAGATTATGATTAGCATTTGTCCTTCAATGTGTTGGAAAGGCTAAATTAGAAAAAGACTAAAGGAAGGGTGTTAACCAAGTCAGAGTCAGGGAACCCAGAGGAGAAAACAGTTGAGACCACTCTAGTGCTGGAACTAGCAGAATCCTAGGCTGATTATTTAAATACAGCGGTGTGAGTGCTCAAAGAAAGCAAAGAGGCAGAAAGAATCCAGGCCCAGAAAGAGTGTTAAAAACCAGCAGCTTCCAAGAAAGACTTTTGATGTGCAAAATTTAACTCTCCTGGAAAATATTCTTATTCAGTACCAGAACTTACGAGGCCCCGGTAAATGTTTGCTGAATGAAATCAAAGCCAAACCAACGAAGGCCCATCCTATCCCAACTAGGGAGTTTAGAAGACTTTCTGAGCCAGCATAGTTTTACATTAAGAAAAGAGTGACCCAATACGGAGGTTTATTATGTCATTGAAATAATAAGAATTCCCCTAAGGGTATATTGAGGTTTTCGTCTAGTTTAGACTTCACACCAAAAGAAACAAACAAACAAAAATAGACAGATATGATCACCAGTTGGTGTGTGTGTGCTAAAATGACATATCGTTTGGGGTATTACCGTTAAAAACTTTTGTATCCTTAACTTTCAGTAGAGCCAATGAAAATAAAGCTTATATAATATCCCCTAAAGCACACATTTTTATCTATGTTATGGAAAAAAAAATAAGAGCATAAATTCAGAAGCCAGTTTACTAATGCCCTAATAGATTGTGACATGTGTGCTTTTTCAGCGGAATCTACAAAACACTTAGAGCAACATCTCAAGTATGAAACAAATTCATTACTAACAATAACCCAACTCAAGACCTTTTAATGGCTCTTTGAGCTCACCCTATGGGTATAGACATATCTTGATTCCATCTGAAACTTTCAAATCAGATAAGTGTGCAGCCATCAAATAATCACAAAAAGAATTTTTATAAAAAGTAGGAATGGATGACCAAGGGCTTTAGAAGACAGGATTTTTGAGGTTTCTAAAATTTTCCCTTGATTTGCCATAATAATATATGCATCCACTGAGAAGTTGTGATAGCTCCATCATGAAAAATCTGAAGGCTAGTCAGTCTCAAGGATGGTCAATTTATTAAGAGGCAGGAAAACAATTAAGAGTCCGTGGAGTCATGCTCGGGGGTAATTCCTGACTCTGTCATTTATAGGATTTGTAGCTATAGACTAACCACTTAGTTTCTCTTGAAGCTAAGTTTTAAGATCTAAAAATTAAAATAATGCACCTTACAGGGTTATTTTAAAGACAAAATGCAAACGTATGTTATCACACAGTTTGCACAAGGTCTTACATACACACAGGTTGTGAGTAATTGTCAGGTGTCATTATTACTCCTTTAGATTGATCTCCATTGAGATGCTCAATAAAAATTTAAACGGCTGCCTGTGTAATTACCAAATATAATTTCAAAGTTTTCAAATACTTGGTGGAAACTTGAAAATTTAATTCAAATTAAGTTCTGACTTTATCAATGTGCTCTCTCATTGCTGCATCTATTAAAAACCAAGAACATCTAACATATGACAGGTGCATCAACCTTACCAACGGGTGGAAACATCTCTTTTGTCACCTTCGATGTTCTGTCAGTTTAACGAAGGAGTATAAAGTAATTACACAGGCTCTGAGACACTGGAATGCTGAGAAAAAGTGTTTATTACCTGATCTGTGAGTTCCTTAATGGCTCCCAGACCTTTTTCTCTGAATCCCCAGAAGACCCTAACATAGTGCTATACAAAGGAGATGAATAGTAAATATATCAGATGAAGAGATTTCTTCAGGGACATAGTGAGGGAGATTTGCCTGATTTGGCTAAGAACACATTTCATTATTCTGTGAGGCCTCCGAACTCAGCCTAGTGTTTGGAACAGAGTAGGAAGACACTAATACATTACTTTTGAATGAAGGGTATTTTTTGACTAATGGTGTAGTCTGCACAGAATAAGGTCTGTAACTCTTGGCAAACCAAGAATAGCATGGATGTTACTTTACATTAATTCCCCAAACGTAATATGAATTACCTGTTAGCACTGTCTTTCACAGTCGATGTTCCAACAGAGATTCTACAAACAGGTAATACTAGTTAACTGAAATTCACGTTTCCTGATTCAATCTCTGTCAAATACATTATTAATGAAATGGCCAAGAGGGATTAGCAAAAGGGGTTCTGAAAAATCATGAGACTAATCAGAACAGAACTTGAGCATGGACATACATTTCCATGAGTGCCTACTGAAAGGATGGATGGATGTGCTATAAACTCTGAAGCAGAAAAGTACTATGAGAATTCTTAAAGAAAATTGACATTTAAAAACAACAATGTGGCTGGGCATGGTGTCCTATGCCTGTAATCCCAGCACTTTGGGTGATCGAGGCGAGATGATTGCTTGCATCCAGGAGTTTGAGACCAGCCTGGGCAACATGGTGACACCTTATTTAAACAAAATTAAAAAATAAAAAATAAAGCCAATAGCATATATTCTGAATAGGAGAAAAGACTATTCTGATAAGTACAATGTCATTATCTATATCCTAAACAACATAGATTTCACCAATATGAAATAAGATGCTCTGTGTATGTGTGTATACCTAAGAGGTCTTCATAGGAACACACAATTTAGTTAGGAAATTTAAAAGAACATGAGGATTTCATATAAACTCCTCACACGAAAAGGATCAAATGGCCTTTAGAAATGCAAGTCATCTTCATGATAGGAGAATACAAAAATCCTATTACCTCCTTTATTTCTGCCCTCCTGCATCATTTATTCTACATTAACAGCGTAAGTATTGACTGTATCCCAATGAACTTACTCAGATAAACACAATGTGGTTTTCTTTTAAAATAAGACTTTACTGAATATATCAACAAGATACTGTATAGTGTAGAGTGAAGTTTGTCATTAACAAAGTGTGCGACATGGTAGGTCTCAGAGGATGTGTGATGCAGAATCTTCCAGCCCCTTGTCAGAGAGAACACACTAAACAGAAACCAGAAGCAAATCAGCATATGGTTCAAACAATAACAAATCATCAGGTTAACTTTCAGTGAATATACACTAGTCCTATGAGGGACACACAGTTGGCAATGCCTTCACCTTGCCTTAAACGGTTATAAATCTTACATTCCAGGGACACCTTTACAAATGCCGCCGTGTGTGTATGTGTGTGTGTGTGTGTACACGCATGTGCATGTTTGATATTAATTTTAAAACGCTTGTTGCGATGGCCTTCCTTTGTGCTCTTCTGGTGGGTGTGTAGCTAGAAAACAAAAAACTATAGTAAGAAAATCTGATTTGTTATAACAACGGTACCAGACAGGTACAAAACTCTTTCTCCACAGTGACAAGCATTCCCCATTGCTGGTAACTGTCTTTTGACCCTGCTGAAGAAATCAGAGAAGGATGTAGGTTATGCCTTCTTAGCATTCGAATTTTGACTTCAGAAAGAGCATCAGGCAAGGTTTGACAAGACCAAGAAAAAGACCAAGAACTGTTTTGTTCTGTGTAAGTATCTTTTTTTCTGTTTGGGGCACTGTTTTCTGCTTTGCTTTCCCCTGCAGCTGGAATGGTAAATCGTGAGCAAAACTGCTATTCTCATGTTCTAAAGTAAAACGTAATGTCTCCTTGTTATAGGTTAGAGAAAAATGCTATAAGCAAAGATGCCAATAGAAATTAACCACTTCCCTTTTCAAGAGCTGCGATGGCCTCTGCAGCTGAGGTCCGGCGATCAAGTGAAGCATCCATTCCCTGTGGACTACAATATTGCCTCGTGTTCTGAATGGATGCTTCGATCACAGCATGAAGTTGTCCTCCCTGGTGGGGAAGTAAGTTCTGATTTGTGTGAAATGACTAAGACTATTATGATAGGTGCTAGTAGAAAATGAAGTTGTAATATGAGCTACTTCATTAATACTTTTTACCAGACAGGTCACATTATAGGTTTTGTTTGTAACCTCAGGGACAATGTCTAATATATTTTCAACGAACATCCAGATAATTAGAAACTGCATTCTTTCTCACAGGGGAGAATGTTTTCCATTTGACACACAAGGAAAATAGGCAGGGGATACAATCCTCGTAGCTGCCTGCGATTGTCCCATGCTGTGGGCTGCTAATTGCATCTGATGGTGTTTGAGGGTAGCCCAGAGTCTCTCTATAATCAAACATATCTCCCCAAACAAGCAGGTATTAACAACTACCCTGGCTATAGATAACTGTCAACATATCCTTGTGATCATGACTATGCCACTTCCTTTTCAATGTCTTCTGTACAGTGACAGTTACTGAGCTCTCTGAACGGGATCAGATTCTATCTGAATCACCTTATTTGGCCAGGTAGCATCAAGCTCTTTATTGGCCAGTGAGCATGGATTTTTTTCCATGGTCTTGGCTTGTACTCTCAACCTTGACTCTTGACTAATCATCTCAAAATACATCATAATGACAGCAAGAGAGGCCCAAACACAAAGCAGGTATTTCTGCAAAAATACATTCCCATGACTAAAAATGCCAATCAAAGCAGAATCCCCAGGGACAGTTGTTTGGCTATTTTCATAAGACACATTAGACATCACAGATTCCATCATGTGCTTTCTATCCTGGTGCAGGTGAGGCTGTAACAAATGGGAGACGGATTTTAATCTTAGCAGTCTTTGTCATGTTGTACACAAGATGAAAATAAAGCCTGTTACTAGGTTCAATCTCTTCAGGAACACCTCCAGCAAAAGGGACCCCGTCAGACCACCTTAAGCATTGCACGTGACTGTCTCCATTGTACTACTTAAGCCCCAAATAATTCTGTGAACTCCATAAGAAATGACAGGAACCTCTTTATCCTTGTTTTTCCTGGCCTAAAGCGATTTCAGCAGCCAGAAATCCCACTGGGGGTTAAACATACAATATACATAAACGAGAATGATTATTTGGTGAATAACAGAAATAAAAACCCTCAAAAGTCAAAGTACCATCATTTGAATGCACAATTTTATCTACACAGCCAAGGGGAAGAGGACAGTAGAAGGGAATTACCCAGCTAAGTACACAAAGCCCCCATGTCATTGTCTTGATTTTAGATGTCTTAGTGCTACACTGATCACCTTCACACTCTTTTCCCTTCACTGCATGGACCTAACTTTAAAAAAAGCAACAGCCAAAACCCTCTAGCTAATAGACTAAAATGGAAACCAGAGTCACTTTAGAATTAATTTAAATTAATTCATAGCTAAGTTCAGCTCTACTGACTGCACAGTTTCAATTCTTGTGTCTAACATACAGCTGCAGTTATATTTTCTGCTTATTCTGAGGGAGAAGGGAGATTAAAACATATAAGTTGGGCTACATTATTAAAGAAAATAAAGCTCTTACTATAAAGAAAAAGTTGCATAGCATTTTATACCTAAACTTTTACAAAGAAGACACATCACAGTTTTATTTTGCTGAGAGTGAGAGAGCAAGTAAGATGACGGTGACATTTACTTCATGGGTCCTTATAATAATGGCCAGTGGTAAAAGAAATATGCATCACAGAGTGAAATGTTTAAAAAGATTTTTTTTCCAAGGGAGTAGTTTTTGATAATGTATGTGATCCATAGCCCTTCTCTGTCTAAGGACGGCAAAGATTAAACTACGTGTTTTATGAAGATGTTGCCTCAAAAGTATCTAGAATTAAGCAAGGACATCCCTCTCTTTTCTATGCCCTGCTCTGCCAGGATTAGGGGAACAAGCCTTCACTCTCTGACTTGTTTTTCATGTGTTGTCCTGCTAACAGAAGATTGATGATCCCTCCGCAACTGCCAAAGTAGAGGAACATCCACGATGGAAAAGGAACAAATAAAATTTCAAAAGTGGAACAGGATCAAAGTCAGTACAAGGTGGAAACCAGGTATCGCTTTTTTAAAAATTAATTATTTTGGCCAGCTTTGATGTGTCCTTACAGAATTATTAGCAGTGAAAATTAGTATGCATTTAAAAATGTATAAGTACATATGGATATTTTGTGCAGCCAAGACTGGTATCCATAATTTTCCTTGAAATACTGAGCAGAGGGAGAAAAACGAAGGTGTTATACACAACTAATTATGAAGATATATGGGAGATGATTGGAAGACAAGAATTTGCAAGGGGATAAAAGATATTACTTCAAGCTATTTCAACATGATACTAACAAAGTCAGCTGACATAACAGAACCACTGACCAGTTGTTTTTGTCTAAATAGCAGTAAGGGTAATTTTTAAATAAGTCATTGTTGTATTTTCAAAACATTGATCACCTGTTGGTCTAAATATCATGTTGACATAGCCTCAGTGAATCTACCCAAATAATTCTCATTATCAAAAATAATTCCATTCAATATAATTCTTCCCTTAATTTTATTAGCCTCTTCTAAAAAATTATTCTAGAATATATCTCTGTTGAATGTGATTCAACCTGACATATGATTTGAACAGTAACACTTTTAAAGGGAGTTTTCTTGCTACAACATCAGACCCGTCCCTGAAGATGACTGAAATCAGACTCAAGTCTCTAACTCTGTTATCACTTAGAACCAGGGAAGCATGAAGAGTGATTTTTAAGTTCCCAGTCAGAAAGCCAACCCCTGCATTTTCAGGTCTTTTCAAATCTCATCTCAATTTTCTTGATTCTGTCAGGCCAGGTTAACTTATCTCACGGGAACTAGCTTCCTCCTGGTGCTTTCAGCATTTCCCGCACTGGGTCAGATCAGGGTAACTACCTCTATTCTCACATTATAGAATTTTTTTACCTGTCTTCCAGACCTGGAGGTATAGGAATAGTGTGAAACTCTCTGGGCCATTTCTTGTTTCACCCATATTATTCCTCGTACCCTGATGAGTCCATTTAATCTGCCCTTTCATCTGACCACCAGGAATTTATTCTGACAGCTTCCAACAGCGAAGTGGTTGATGTGTATCCTAAGGAAGAATCACTCGTTCTTTTTGTCTCGGCATTGGGTTCTCATTGTACAACCCTGTACAGTACTTCAGCAACTTTTTTTTTTTTAAGTTTTAAAAAGCAAAGAGTTACAAAACTGTTTGTAATTAACTTGAAATAGAAAAGATAGCACTTTTTTAAAATCCCATTATATAGTACACCGTATAAATTACAGAGTATTCAAATGCACAAATGCATCTGTGTAACATTTATCAAATGTAATCTGCGTGTCTTTACGTGCACACACGAGTGTGTTCTCAAGAGTCTAACTGTCCGCCTTGATAACGCTGGGCTTCTGGCTGTCACGTATGGCAGTGCTCTAGGTCTGGCACGCTGCTGTTGCAGTATCGCATGTTGTTGGGGATATGGCAGTCTGTGTAATTAATGCCCCCATTTGGGGTGTAAATGGGCTGCAGTCTGAAATCTCCTTTAAGGAGTTGATCGTTATTTAAGGAGACGATCTGAAAACTGGTTTCTGTCATCTCCAGGATGGAGTTGTCCTTCTTGGTGCCTGCCTCGCAATAATCATCTTTCCGCCGGCCCCGGTTGTATTTCCACTTCTGGGAGGTGTAGCGCCCCTTTTTGTGCATGTGCCAGCAAAAGACGCTGAGCAAGACCACGAGCACAAATATCACCGCGCCCCCGATCAAGCCCGCCAGCAGAAAGGGGGAGCCCATGCTGTGGGACGTCGTCTGCTCATGACTGGATGCTGTGTTGCTGCCGTTGTTCAGATAGGAGGCGTGAGTGGTGGCCTCCGAACAAATGGTGTCTTCTACCGCGCGGTAGTTAAAAGCATCCAGTGGCACTAAACAAATCCGATAGGTGGATAGGGGCTCTAGGTTAACCAGGCTCAGGTGTTGCTTCTCACCGCTGACTATGCGCTCCTGAACGATGCCCCCTACTAAACTGTGGCCCATTTTCACCCATGTGAGTTTGTATGCCATCACGGTGAAGAGAGAGAGCCAGCTGACTTGAATGGAAGTATCATTCACAAAATGGATAGAGAGCTGGATCCGTTCAGAAATAGGTGGGGTCACTCTTTCTCTGCCATCCCAGTCAGAAATCGTGGGAAGTTTCGATGTGGTAGGAGTTGGAGGCGTGTGGCTTCTGCTAGGGTTTGGAATAGAGAGGGTGGGAGGCTGAGTGGTCGGAGAAGCTGTACTTGGGGCTGGGGTGAAGAGAGGCAGGCCGGGGGTCGTGGTGGGACAGGACAAAAGATTCATATTTAATTCCCTGACGGCCATTCCCCGGACTTGTTCAGGACCTTGGCACATGAAACCCCGCACGTTGAGAGATGAAGGGATGTATTTGAGCCATTCCGTGACCCATTTGATACTGCAGTCACAAAACCAAGGGTTATTCCGCGCAGTGAGCTGCTTCAGGTTGGAGAGATTATCAAACACCCCTTGAGTCAGCATCCGCAGTTGGTTGTTGGATATATCCAGCCGTTCCAGCTTACGCAGATTTGAGAAGGCTGTCAAAGGAATGTGGTTTATCTGGTTGTCCTGCAAATAGAGCCTGATCAGATGTGTACCTGGCAGATCGGGAGGAGGGTGGGACAGCGAATTACGGACGATTGAAAACTCCTTGAGCTTGGTGAGATGGCTGAAGGTGCCGTCAGCGATACCCTTGTTGGTCAGGAGGTTCCCGTCCACAATAAGACGCTCCAAGCTTGTGAGATTCTGGAAGGCCATGTCGGATATGACAGCAATTCGGTTTTCATCCACCCTCAGCTCTTGCAAGTCCACAGGAAGCCCCACAGGCACACTGCTCAGGTGGTTCTTAGACAAAAACAATAATTTGAGGCTAATGGCCTCCCGGAAGGCCCCGTCTTCCACCCCCACTGTGGATATGGAGTTGTCATCCAGGTGCAGCTCTTCAAGCTTTAAGAGCTGGGCAAGAGCAGCCCGTGAAATGGTCTGAATATTGTTTTCCTGCAAATGGAGAACTCTGACATTCTTGGGAAGGTTCATGGGGAATTCGTCCAGTTGGTTGCCGTACAGGTAGACCGTGTGCACCGACTGTACATTGTGCAGTTCTGCAGGAAATCCAGCATTATTAATTTGGTTGTTGTGGAGGTAGAGTACGGTTACGCCCTCCGGGATCCCAAGAGGCACTGAGGTCAAGCTTCGCTCATTACAGTAGACAAAGTTCCTGTCGCAGCGGCACACACTAGGGCAGGCCAGGAGTTTGGACACCTGTGAGTAGAGCCCCAGAGAAATGATAAGCCAAGACTTCAGGAAAAAAGCCCCATGGCTGGGCCACTTTGTGGTCTGTAGGCCCATTTCTGAAGTACAGAAATAAAATACAATGTAGTGGGAAAAAGAAAAAGAAAAAAAAATAACAGATAGCAAAATCAAAATGACTGGACCGGGTTCTGCGGAAGTCCAGAACTCTAGCTAGCGGGAACGTCCTGAAGGCGTATGGTAAAATAATCTCCCTGCTGTCTTGGGTCTTATCAGCGTGTGTTGCCCTCTTTGCTGCTGTCCTCCATGTGCAAAAAATTCAACAGGGAGAATTTTTCCACACTGGCAACAGGTGATGGCAAGTTATCAGCCGTGTCAACACAAGCCCAAGTGGGCAGGCAGAACTCTCTTCTATTGTAGGTCAAGCCAGCCTTGATTAGTCTACGAACTTCTTGGGTAAGCTCAATCTGCAATCTGTTGTAGGAAAGAAAAGAGGAAACGGTCAGTTAAGGGCAGTAATGAAAGAAGTGCCAATATAACCCTGAGCCTTTCAAAAACAATGAGATTGGAATGAAATGTTGAGAGGCCAGGGTTGGCATTAAGTGGAATTTCAAATAACAGTAACTTAGTTGAAAAGGTATTCAAGAAATAATATAGTATCTTCAAAAGGACATCATGCTGTTACTTGTCACCATCAACCATCGTATTGTGAATTTAACAGCCCAATCAGTACCTTCTCTTTTATCTATTCTTCATCTATTTGCATATCCAAACACTTAATTACAACAGGCACACTGCTGAATCCACTCAATCAGTTAATGATAATTATCTACAAATCCCACTGGTCATAGACTTGTTTCAAGGTAGAGGTGATGACTGACAGCTAGCAAAAGTGAAGGGGAAAATGTGAAGCCCTGCATAGTTATATATTTAAAAATGCAAAATGGAGACTAATAAAGTCACTTAAAAAGATGCATCCTTACTGAAAAATTATTCCAAATGCATTACATTTCCAAATACATTTACTATATATGAACTTTCATATACGATGTTATAAAAAAGCTATAGCTGAATTAGTTGCCATTTCCTTTTAAAATGTATTTTAAAACTCTGATACAAAAACTTAGGCTTAACGGAAAATTTTAGAGAATAAAATATAAAGAATATAGTATGAAGGTGATAAAGATTATTCATTATATTATCACCCAGAGATAACTGATCAATTTGCTTACTTTCCTTTTTTCTATACCTATACTTAACAAAATTGGAATCATTATTTTTCTTTTTGTTACCTAACATATGTTATGACCACGTAATTTAAAAAAATGGAATCAAAGAAAAAAAATTCAAAGAAAAAATTTTTCAAAGAAAAAAAAAGTAGTATAAACGTAGTGAACAGAAGCATGTATGAAGGCAGAGACTTTTTTTCTTTTCCACTTCTTGTCTCCTTTCCTCTTTATCTTCCTCCAAAATAGCTTGCACTCGAGTCACCGAGGAGAATGACTAAGCTCCAGGGTACAAAACATCTCCACTTATCTCCTCCTTCGGGACCTCTAGGTCCAGATGAGATACACCATTGTGATCCCTTGAAGAGTTGCCAAGCTCATGACTAGGGGTAAATTATTTTTCAACACCATCACCTTCTTTCTGTCGGTGCTTTCCTGCTTTTATTAGAGGTCTTTTAGTAAATTTTGAAATGACAGAAGACACAGTTGAGGAAGTCAAGGCAATCCACAGATAGTAATCATGCCTTCTTGCTCCAGAAAGTATTCCATCTGTTTTTAGATTAGAGAGGTAAAGAAGTTAATTGAAAGGTGCCAGATTTGATTTCCCTACAAAATAAGCTAACATGATAGGACATGGCAAACTGCGAGTCTCTTAATTCTCAGGAATACAAGGAGATTGAAACAACTTACATCTAAAAGCACAGAGGAACTACTTGAAATTGTTCCCTTAGCTATCTTTAGAAATATAATTAAAAAAGAAAAAAAGAACACTGGAAATGTTATTTAAGTGTCAAGGATGTTGTAAATGTGTTCTATAATTTAAAAGATTGTAAGCCATCTTAAAAAAATGCCTTTGATGACCAGAAATGGTAAAATTCATTTTTTATAGTTTAGGAAATACAAGGTGGGTGGGAGGGGATTTTTTTCAGGTAAAAGAGAGAGATATGATGCTTTATTAAAAATCAAGCATGGCCGGGCTTGATTTCACATGGTGGCTTACACCTGTAATCCCAGTACCTTGGGTGGCCCAGGCAGGCATATAGCTTGAGCCCAGGAGCTCGAGACCAGCTTGGGCAACATAGTGAAACCCCATTTCTATTAAAAATTAGAAAAATTAGCCAGATGTGGTGGTGTGAGCCTATAGTCTCTGCCACTCTGAAGGCCGAGGTGGGAGGATCGCCAGAGCCCAGGAGGCAGAGGTGAGTCAAGATCATGCTGCTGCAGTCCAACCTGGGTGACAGAGCAAGACCCTGTCTCAAAAAAAAAAAAAGTCAAGCGTTATTTAATTTTTTACAAAACCTAATATGCGTTTTGATGCTGAAAAGGATGCCATTCCTTCCAAAAGAAACCTCTCTATAGACTTAAAGAATAATTTATATAACTGAGGTGGCATAGGAAAAATGAGTTTAATGCAATCAGCCTGATGGCATCCTTAGCTCAGGTTTCAAATCATCTTAATGTTCCCTAGCACCTTGGTACTCCAGTGTGGTCCTTGGTCCAGTAGCATGAGCCTAACCTGGGGAGATGGTAGAAAAGCTAAACCTCAGGCCCAGAATCTGCATGTTAGTGAGAGCCTGGGGTGGGTGCATTCAAATTTGTGAAGCACCATGAACATCTTATTTAATCATTCATGTTTTAATTTATTAGATTTAAAATAGATGCAAGAGCATGTCACATGACTCTTTTGAGAAGAGTTAAGGCATAAGGCATACTAATCACTTTTGTCCCTGGGAGACAGTCTCAAATAACATCTTATATGTAAATTACATCTTCTGGGTGGAGCAGTGCAATGACTATGTATGACACTTGGCCTTAACAGAAAATGTTTCTCTGGTTGACAAGTACTAATGTCTAGTAGGACCTTAAAGAGCTACTTGTCATCACAGTAGCCCACTTCTGTAAAACATTTAAGAATAAAAAACTGGTTCTATTAATAATTACTTCCGCAAGAGCTAGGAAAGTGACACTAAAGAATTAAATGTAATGTTTTTGAGTATTCTACTGGAATCTTCAAAGTGTGATAGAAACAACCACGGAAAAGAATGTCCTAAGGTAGAAAAACAGCAACACCAGGGTCTCTAAGTTCCTATGTGAAAAGAATAGATGCTTCTATATTGTCTTATAGGCCAAGTATTAGGGGCTAAGAAACAATCAATACTTGAAGACGATGGTGTTTGCTTAGAGTTCATCAGCTAACAGCCTCAAGGACATTAACACTGGGAGTCAACCAAATACTCAGGGATGGGCCTAGAAACTATTATTATGCATCCAAATTGTAAATTTTCCATTTCCTGAACTGTGTCCTCTGCAAGGAGAGAATAGGTCCCCATCAGCCAACCCTTTGCCCCCGTGCCTTGCTCTCCTGCAGGCATATTTTACTCATGAGTGGTTCTTTTATAATTATATAAGACGATGATGTGGTTCTGAAGAAAGCTCCTAATAAGATTACACGGGGCAAACTGTCACTGTTCATACACCTTAATAGGAGAAACGTCCCATCTAGACCACAATGTGTTGATCGGCTATGACAAGTTCAATTTGGAATGAAAACAAACTCTCAGAGCTTTCTTTGACCTTCTTGGGAGTCCCACAAAGTAACAGCATATAGCAGATTTGTTCTATTCCACGTATCAACAACAGCTTACACCTAGCAGTGAATGCACTGTATTTTTCTTTCAATCAGTACAAATATTAGTAAAATTACAACCACCTAGGCCATAATGATTTTTTTAAATTTAAATTTTTAAATTTAAATTTTCTTTGCATTTCCAGCTGTGGTGCCTACTGAATAATGAAGATAGAGATCCTTTTAGACTTTAAGTTGGGGACCATATTTACAGAGAAAGAAAGTATAATGGTCAACAAGTATAGATCCTGAGTTCTCATCCTACTTCTATCACCAAGTAGCAGCAGGATCTCGAGTACACAATTCTCTTTTCAAGTCTTAGTCTCCTTATCTGAAAAATGATAATAATGGTTCCTGACTCACAGCACAGTTGACAGGGTCAAATAAAATAATACTTGTAAAAAAACTTACGTCTGTACATGGCAAAAACGTAATAATGCTGATTATTCTCTATGTAATTGTTATTAACGATATCCAAAGGGGTGAACTCCACTGTGTAGAACAAAATAAAATCAGCCTTGACCTGCCAAGCTTTATGCACTTTCAACCACCCCAGTTTCTCAGCCTAAGCACTACTGACATTTTGCAGCAGATAATTCTGTGTGGTGGGGCTGTGGTGTGCATCCCAGAATGTCTCCTGATGTTGCCACATATATGTCCCGTGGAGTGGGAAAATCATCCCCTGTTGAGAATCGAAGATCTACACACACCTTCTTACAAGTGCTTTAGAAAGTTAGCATTATTGCCGTCATTTTCTAGAGAAAACTAAGATAAATTTCTAATAAACACAACCTAAAAATGCTTCTCCCATGGACACCAAAAAGCATGAAAACGTAATATACTTTCCATTGATTTATTGAACCAATATTTATTGAGCACTAGAACGAGGATATAGCTGTATACAAAGCTGATGTAGTTTCCGGCTCATGAGGCTTAAAATTAAGTGAGGGGAGAACAATGAGTAGGTGGTGAATTCGGGTTCTAAGTAAAGAGTTCTTAACCCTAGAGCATCAGCTAATCCTGGTCCTGTGTAAAGAGTTCTACCCTAGCCCATGAGGTATCAGGAAAAACACTGCAGGGAAAGGATGGCTCTGTGAAAATCAGAAGGATAGAGAGGCCCAAGCCGGGAAGAAGTGTAAGTTCTGAATACAGATCCAAGCTGCTTGTAATGTGAAGCCAGAGATGAATCCCAGCTCAGCTGAGAGGAGGAACAAAACATTAACTGCACAATGCTTTCTCCCAACTCTCTGTCTGCTTCTCACTGAGGTAGTCATGCTTCTAGAAGACGATAAACAAACTCACGTTTCAAAATCACTGGGCATTTCACCTGTAAGCCTAAATGTTGGTGATAAAAAGAATTGCTTTACAAGATAAATTTCAAATTCAAAGGGAAAAGAGTATTTTTCGATTTTTAAATATTTCCCTGTTTATGTGAATACTGTATTGAATATGTTGCTTCCTCTCCAGGAAACTAGAAATGATAAAGAATGGCTTAATCACAGGTCCTAGGTAAAGCCAAAAATTTTCATTTAAGGGAGATCACAGTTTCAAAAACCTGAGTATAAATCAACATGCAAAAAAAAAAAAAAAAAAAAAAAAAAAAAAAAAATGCTCTTTGCAGG